ACTGGCTGATTAATATAAAGGAGAACTAGCCATCTGTATTTATACAATTCCGTTTTTAGTTATGGGGATAAATACCATGTAGGATAGAGCCAGATGGTTTTCACTCGAGACGAGGGAGGATGTTTCGTGGAATGCGTCAACCTAAATGTCATATTCAAGCAATACGACTGCAGAACAAAGGGACTCGACCGTTGTCTGTCGGTGAGATTAACCAACCAATCTATTCATCATGCACCTTTATGGGAAATGAAAGTGTCCACGACAATGAGTTTTCAAGATATTTATCGAAACCCAACTCCTCTTCGTGTATAAAAGAACTATTTTCTTGCTTTACTATATTGGTGCGCTATTTCGTAAAATATGGGTTATCGCGCTGACTTTGTCTGTCACGAACGTCAGCTTAGCACGGGCTGCAGGACGCTGGGCTGATGACCTCGCTGCACAATCCAACAGTCTTCGCTCTTTGAAGGCACTCCTCCTTCGGTTTCCGGTGTGAGCAATTCACCGTGAGACCAACCAATTCCTTCCAACCAACTTTTCTTAAGAAATGAAAAGTCGAGTTGCACTAAATCATAGAGGGGTTCCTTAAAATTCAGCTTTTCTTCATATTTATGCTTACAGATATGTTGCATGCATGCACTGCTAATGCTTCCGTTTAGGTTTTGAAGCCCAATTTACAACAACTTGGCTCTACAGAGCACTCTTGCATGACGTTTGTTTTTAATTCGACTCAACTTTTAATTTCAAATGAACAGTTGGTTGAAGGGGATTCGCCAACTGCCTGCACAGGAAACAGATGGAGGATCCTCTATGTAAGTGGTTTTAGAGACAATCACTACTTTTTGAGTAAGATCTCAACCACTCTAGGATTAATGACTCGCCTAGGTCTCATCAGGGCCCCGAAAAGGATTCGATACCGGTTAGGGAGTATTGTGGTAATGCTACCAATCCAGGCCACAGCAACGGGTGCAAGAGTGCCACAAGGAAAATGCGAGAATCAAGGCAGGCCAAGCCCCTCCCAAATCACGTCTAT